TGACCGATTGCTTCGGTCAGCTGATTCAGTGTTGGGTTCACCAACTCGGCCAGGGCTGCACGTTGTCGTGATCGTCGTCACTTTGGTTACTCATCCCGGTAGAAAATTCCTTGTTAGGAGTGTTGGAGTCGATATGCGGGTACTATTCCGCAACACAATACCACAGTCGGGTGGTCGAAGACTAGTACGTACGAACAAAAGGATACGCAGCGCAATAGTGTGACGCCTCTTGACGTCTTACTAATCCTTAACGGCTCTTTCAGTGTGGATCACTGAATTATCCGATGTGGTTCTTCGACTAAGAGTGGGAAATCGGTGGTATGATAGAGTATGTTGATCTCGTCACGCTCGGACAATGGATGGTCGAGCTCTGCGAGTGATGATCATGCTCCAGAACTCCAATGGTTCGAAATGCATATGGCTCTGATAAAGTTGACGCCGAATCCTGTACTAGTATCTTATTCGTTATGGAACCGACATACATATCCTTCGCCTACATCTTCTTCTAGTGCTGATTCCAGTATGTAACGGTTATTCTTTCATCGGTGTAGAATTGCGTCTAGCTCCTAGTACTACAGCGAGGCAAGACAACATCTGAACTTATTATTCTCTGAGGCTGGTGTTCAAGTCACACACACGTTTTGCAAGAGTGAATCACAAGTTCAGGAACCTGATTAAAATCCTACCGAACTTCCCAGCATTTTATATTATTCCTCGAGAGAATGGTATCAAATCCAAAGCGCTGTCCCCACAGTGTCCCCATAGACGGCGCAGGGCGTGCGAAAATACTCTCACTACTCTTTTGGGTGTGTTACTGTTCTCCGGTGAGCGTCCAAAGAGTTCACGGGGACCACACGGTTAAGGGTGTGACAGATCTCAGCACGGCCGTCTTGGAGCTCGGCCAAGGTCCGACCTTGACTTTGAAGGTCCCCTGGCTCCTGGCCACCGCGGACAGCGAATTTTTTGGGGGGATTTTGGTCACCAGTCTTGGGACTTAGGACTTACCTACGTTTTGCTCGCTACCTCGATGCTGGGCTGGTCATAATAGGCAATAGGAATGCATCGGACGATTGGATATTTTTCGGCGCTTGATCATGCATGAACATCCTACTGATTCATTGTCGCGACAAGCCACTGTAACTCATGTTGTAGCAATGATGGGGAAGGACCCTGACAGCCGACTTGTCAACAGGCTGACTGTGTGCCACCTCGTTAGGACCGTGGGCACGCGTTAGATGGATTCGATTGCTCTAATATACTGGTAAGTATTCCCCCCCCCTCTGATAGTAAGGACAGAGCCCTTTATTCATAGTCACGAAGAACAGGGGATACATCATCGCGTGTACTTCCCTTTGATGAACATGTTAGCCGGGCCGACCTAGCCCTGAATTGGGTAGATTATGGTTAGGCCATATTAGGCCCTTCCTGCGTTAAGACGCCCGGCATGAGTCATGCCTGTGAACCGTCGCACAACCGTGACGCATGCGCATAGTATGGTCTACCTGAGCTCTATATGTAGCAGACACCGCGGAGAGTAGATCGCTCATATGCCTCTGTCCTCTCCTGTGGTATATCGACATTTTGGAGGGCATTGGCTTGGCTCGGTCTGACGAAGCTTGCCCGTTCAGCACACCCATACCATTATTCCATGCCCTTTTGCTCGCCCTAAAACCTTCACGTTCTTGCTCATGCGTTCATCGTAGCTAAAAGGAAAAAGGAGCCCCTCAACGGGACTCTTCTCATCTCAAGGTCGATGAGGGAGTACATATGCGATGTTTCATCACTGTCAATGCTCTGCATGAGTTCCAGAAGTGTTGCTCGTGCGTAGTAGTGGTAGATGAGAGGTTATTCTTCATCAAAGCACTGGCTCTAGATTAGCATCCATTTCCCCTTCATGTTGGCCCGCTCCACTATCCTCCTCCTTACTCTTGGCCTCGCTATGAGTGACACCTGCCAAGATATATGCGACAGTAATCCTGCCTGCGCTCAGTCCAAGTTTGGTAGCTATTGCAAGAGCAATGGTGTATGCTTTGGGCTGTACCATCAAGGCTGTGGATACTGCTTCCAGCCTGCTGAGCAAGAGACCTGTGATGACTCTACACTTGAGCCTGTCGCGTGCCAGGGTTGCCAGGCAGCATGCGATACCCTTCCCCAGTGCAAGAACTCTGACAGAGGTACCTACTGTAAGTCTTGGCAGACCCCCCCTGTATGCTCCGGTATCATCCAGAAGTCAGATGGGTCTCTTTGCTACCACCCAACTGACAAGGACTGCGAGGGGGCGCCCTATCCTTGCTAAGATGAAGTTCAAGATGAGCTTTTGACTTTCATTAGACTTCATTTTTATCCCCAGGGTATCATGTATCTTCTTTCTTGATGGAGAGGCTAAGTTGCGATGGATACACAGGCAAGGGAGGGTTTTCATCTATCAACCCACCCCTTAGCCCGCTTGTGAGCAACTGCCAGTCGTCTTCCCTCGTATAACAATTCTCTTGTTCAGATCGAAACTTACCAATTGTTCAAAAAGTTCATTTAGATAGTCATATCACAAGTAACACCCTGTGTTAATACTTCATATTCCACAGCGGATGTCCGAACTACAATTTTTATTCGTCCGATGTAATTTGTCTCATACACAACAGATGTAACTTGAGGGCTTTCAACGATCTAGGTGAGCGTTGGAAAGAATTCTCTTGTCAAAAAGTCTGTTACTTGGGGATTTCCGAAACCTCTTTTGTTCAGTCGTTAATTGCCGCTTTCCACCTCTATGAATGATATGCTTACACTGAACAGGGTATTATCAGAAACACATATACACATGCGACAGTGTCGTCAGGCCGTAGAAGTTGTGCCAGTATAAAAGCGGCCAAGTACTGTCTCCGCTTTCACACTAAATTTCGCAGCGTTTTCGTTCCCCTCGGCACCAGCATTCAATAGAGACTTGACAAAACCAGGATGGAATATTGGCTGATTTCCAAGAGTACCTGGAAGCGATCAAGTGAAGCAGCCAACTGAAGCACTCTGGTTACCTATCCTCCTGGCCTCTTTCATAGCCTCTTCCGCTTGACGTAGCCAAGCCGCATCTCCCACTACGAACTTCAGCCAGGCTTGTGCCGCCAAGCATCTCGCTGGTCGTGGGCGCATACCTCCTTGTGGGAGCCCTTTACGCTCAACTTCCTTAGCAAGCTCAACGTCCCCATTCATTAGAGCACACACCATGACATTGACATGGGCTTCACAGGGCAATACTATACCCATAGTGTCCACTGCATCAGTCCAGAGCAAGGCAACCTCGTCCGATTGTCCCGATGCACAGAAGGCTTCGATGGCCATCTCGTACGGTATACTGCTAACATCCATAGCCCAATTCGAACGTATAGCCTAGGAAGAGCCGAATAGTTGGAGAACTCCGCGGAAGAATAATTAATTTCCACTCACCCCCAAAATGTCGCGGGTTGCATGAGCATCATTTAAGGCGTTAAGGCCGATCATCAATGCATGCAGCAGTTTCGGATTAGGGGGATATCGCAGCCACTTTTGCCTGATTAGTTCACTCTGTGTTGATAAGAAGATGGACAGTAGCGCTTACCATGCCTTAGTGAGCTCTACAGCCTCATCCTTCCGCTTCAGCCTAATGGCGCAAGCCAACAACTTAGTAGTGAGCACGGGGTCTCTCAAATCTACTCCAAGATTATAATACCGATTCAGCGTCACCATGCACGTGCCGTACTCTATAGGCCTGGTTTGAAAGCATCATAAACCACGACCATTGATGAGGCTAACCTACGTTTCCGCAAGCCTAATGACTTCGTACAGCCCGTCAATTGTCACCTTTTTATGGTTGAAATGACCTGTAATAGAAATTACTAAACTGTGCGCACCAGCGACGCAACAGTGTGTTCTTGGCCTTCAACATTACCACTTTTTCCACAAGCCTGGTCGATTTCGTTGCCCTTGATCTCACTCTTCAACAGAGGGCGTTCAACGTTAATACGGTCCGGCGTAAAGGCAAGCCGTGGCCGAATGCTCCTAGCACGAAACATGAATCTTGCCGAATACCTACATGGTCCACCTTGGCCACCACAACACAAAAGCCAAACTCCGAGAAACATCGTTTTCATTCCTTTAGGGCAGCCTGTGCTGACTTGCTAGTTTTGAGCGAATGGCAAACAGCTCCTTCGAGCTTGTCCTTCTGGTCACCATCATCATCATCCAAGCGCCGTGGGTATGCCTAAAAAGCGATTGTTCTGTGAACTGGCCCTACTATCGTGACTCGCGATGCCTCGGTGTGCAGCCACCGTACAGAGTACATGGAAGGCATCTGAACTACTACCCTCCTGCACACAGCACGATGCCACTAAACTATAAAGACAAACTCAACTGACCAGCAGGTACGACCAGTGAACTCAACTCGTGTGAAGCGGGCAATGCAAGAAAATGTTATTGAGATATTCATTGTATTCCAAGATGAGCCAGGCTGCAACGCCTATCCTGAGGTCGAGAGTAGCTTGGAGAGTCGTCTGGCCTCAACTACTGAGTGTACCATGTTACTAATGTAACTAACCCATCTAGCCTGAGGACACAGTACTGGCGCTGTGATCATACTCTATGGTACTACTTGGAGGATCTCCTTCACGATTGCTTTTTGTTGAGAAGCCCCCAGCTCTATGAAGTCCTCAGGGAAATCAGAGTCGCTAAAGTCATCACACAAGTGATCCCCGAGAAGGCGGCCACATGACGTACTCAGGTGCACAGTATTTCCTCTGCCTCTGCTTGTATGCTAACCTCTCCGCACCTAAAGCCTTCGACTCCTTCCTACACAGACTGTCGATGCTGGGCGAGCAAGCGGATGGATAATGCTTCACAGCAAACTGTAGAAAGGCTGATCTCATGACTCCATCTGATGCCTTCGTCTCACCCATTCAAGTTCAGCAATACGTCTAGCAAGGCTCATAGGAATCTTGAGGACCGCCGCGATGATCATAGGATCCCGACGCCTATTCTCAGGTAGGAGGTCTGGGAAGGCTTTAAAGCACAGAGCCAGAGTAACGACCTGCCTCAGGCTCTGCATGCCTATAAACATACCATAGGATTGTTGTATGGTCGGCAACACTTACCCAGACTTGGGTCTTCGAATGTAATCTCGTCGAGGTTGTCAGTCGCCATAGCTGCTGTCGCAATATGATGGTACAGTATCCCACCATAGCCCTACTCACAAATGACTTTGGTCGCCGTGTAGACCATTGACGAGCCCCGATCTCACCTTTTTCTGTTCGCTCGGCATGGTTAGGAACTGAGCAACTCTTATACGCCTCTTACCATCCTCAACAAGCAACGGGAAACTATATACAGATGCACAGGTCTTTATCCGATGCGTTAAGGCATCGCGTAAGAGGTATAATGTCCATCTAAGAACAACGCATATATGCCTTCCCCTTCTACTGGCCAAACCGACCTGCCGCCGATACCACACTCCTCCCGATCTCCATCCGTAGCAGAGGGCAAGTCTATGGTGCCACTGGCGTCAATGAACCAAAGCATGAGCCATTCAACTCGACGCCAGAACTCATACAGAGACTCCGGTATCTGCAATGGGAGCCCTTTCCCTAGCGTTGAGAAGTGCTTCACTGCTACAGTAACGAGCTCTAGTGTTGATGGCAGGGCCGAGGCATACGCCGTTGGACGTGGGATGGCCTTCAGTTTCTTCAGTAGGCTATTGTCTTTGCCGTTCATCCCCAGTCGGAAGGCCTTGCAACCGCCGTAGAAAGGCTTTAGTGTCTGACAAGAGGAGCAACCTCCCTACTGTCACTCCCTGAGCTGGGACTCTCACTAACGGCGAGAAGCGAGCCGTGTGCATGCGTGCAAGAAGAGTATCACAATGGCGCTTGTAAGCCGCCTTCATAAGCTTGTCATTAGGCATCTGACAAAACTTCCTCAGCACTTTCTCAATTGGACAACATCATCTTTACTTTAGGATGTTCGAAATTGATCCCAACGCTCAGGTCTCGGGTATCGACATCGATACGGATAACTAAGGGCGTGAGGGACTTTAGCCACACAAACGACTCTGTCTCGTCAAAGGATTGATGAACCTGAACAATACTTATCCCTCAACACATGTGTAAATGCATTCTACGTAGGCCGGAGGGACACCTTCCTCAGCGTCGTCAAAATAGAAGCGCATCACATCAACCACCTCCAATTCGCATACCTACACACATGCCCTTTTCTACTGTTAGCTGCAATGACCTGACCTCGGTGCTGACTACAGCCTCCGGTACATGTTCCTGTCCTACTATCTCATTACCACTGACCCTCCTCTTCTTAAATGCAGGGCTGATACCAGTTACTCTCTGCTTCCTAGTTGGCGCTAACATTACAATGCTCAACCCCAGTGACTCAATCTGGGGGTAAGTCTGTCATCCTCCCGACAAGGCGCCGACTGGCACGCCTATTGTTGCATGCTCCCCCCTACCAGCGAGCATCTTAGCTACCGCGATTAGCATATGAATCCGAAGTCATCCGAATGCCCCTCTCATTGCTTCTATTCAACCTATCACCACTGCAGACTCTACACACAAAACGCCCCCGAGATGTATTGACTCAATTACTGGAACTAACACGAGATGTAATAAGAAACAAGCACCATGCTTCCTATTGAGGACACAGTTGCAGATCAAGTGTTGAGTCAGAGAATAAGATGATCCTTCTCCGGCAGGCAACTCCAACAACAAGAGGAAGAAGTTGACCTCAAGCATAACGCAAAAAGCATGCGGGCTAAGCATGCGGGTTCACTAACAAGTTTCTCATAACAACATTCACATCATCGATAATACAGCCATACTTCTAGTAACTATCGTTAGCAGTAGCGAAAGTCATACCGTCTTCAGAAGATGGCTCAGTCGCCGAGAGTACAGGAGTCCGGTCCAGACTTTGAGGTACCTCATCTCCCATACCGGCATGTCACGCGATTCGACACTGATCTGAATCGGGCAGGTCATTTCCGCTTCCAAATCCATCATTCCACCTTCAAGAGCCGCAGGACCCTGCGAGGAGATCACGATGATGTGTTTGTCGACTACTCTCAGGAGAACCCCCGTGTCTATCGCTTGCCTCACCGAGGCAGGCCCAGCTCAGCGTCCCGCTCCACATTTCCCTTCACAATCTCCAATACTATCATGGTATAACGATCGGGATCCACAGCGCACTCGTTGCGACTACCTCAGCATTGGGCAGGATATTCACCGTTGCAACTTACCACCCATCCCTCTAAGAACGGCTTAATTCTGTAGACCGTTACATGCCTCATTCTGACGCACTGAGATATCCGTCGCGTATTCCCCAGGACCTTCGAGATGCCACAAAGTATCAGCCACATACACCGGCAATGCTGTGCTCTGGCCTACTTCGAAAATAAGGTCCACGGCTCGTCAGGGATCTCCACATACTGGAACACAGTTTTGGGCCCGTTTACCGTAGAGTATATCTCTAACAGCTCTGGCCACACGGTAGCCTCTAGCACGTCAAGAGACATGAATGGTCAGCCATCCTCCAGCAATGAACCATCGTCGTTCGGGTCTACTCGAATATCCTCGGAAGCTGAGTATACCACCTTCACTGAGGAAAGCATCAGCTTCCGGTACTGAACCTGTTAATCATAAAGCGGCTGCTTCCGCGGGGTCATTTGATGCGGGGAGTCCTCAGCCGATTCCCATTTCAAGCATCGCAGCGGAGTGATCCGGATTGTCCAGCCAATCATCCCAAGCCGCAAAGAGAACCTCCGATAATTACGCCGTCCAAGCTTTTTTGGACTCCATAGGCCTTGTCAAGACATTCCCCAAGCCTCGTGCAGCAGGCACAAGTTCATTCAAAAGCCCATTCTAGATCATAGAAGGAATTATATACTTCAACGAGTGGATGATGTGAATGCTATCCCCCATATTGATCAGGTTGTGGGCGCGCGCTTTTTTGTTAAAGCAGTTGCGACCGCCCCAGTAATCGATTACTATTCACCAGCAGCTACACTTTAGAAGGGGTGGGGGGCAGCTATGCCACCCCAGCATACGTCTCAGTGAAGTCAATTTCTCCAGGTTGGGGCAGCTATGCCAATGGTATCGTTGCCGTCCTAAGATATGTCTTGGTTTACTGTCATGGCATCCACCGGAATGCACAAATCGTTGTTGCTGTTGATAAGACAAATACCGCTTGTCAGACCAATTCTACTGCATGTTCGCGACTGGCCTTGGCATATCACATGGTGTAGCTTGACGTTAGCCTTGTTCCACATTCGAGCATTATGATTCTTGGTTCATGGACATCTTTGGGTTCGTAGTAGTCAAAGGAACTCCTGTACCTGGCAATGTTGGGGTAGATCAGGTGCGTTTAGGTCGAACTATCAGTTTGCGGTTGGTTTACGGGCCTTTGCCTTCCGATTAGCAACTTTTGATATTATTTCTGTCAATATCACTGATAGCCACGAGCAAATAACTGGTCCTTAGGGTTTTTATAGGAGTATAGTGACGTTGAACTGATTGACGGCTCTGGAATGTTTCTCCTGCTTCGCTCGTACGGACACTGCTCAGTGCTTAAACTGCGTTACTAAAGTTTTTCAGAGGTGTACTATGCGGAGTTCAAGGAGTAATAGCTCACTAGCCGTATCTTCCGACACGCCCTTCGTTACTGTTCCATCAGCCGATGCTGACTCAACTCGATCGGTGTAGCAATATTGCGACGTTAGGGTTACGTACATAGTATGAACTAGTCTCACGCGGAAGTACTGCTGCAGTGTGTTGATGGTATTGCTATCCGATGCCTCTACCATCCCCCTCTCCAGGCAGTAGTAGGGGATCTCGATCCCGCTCGCCTTCCGAAACGCCTTCAACTAAACGCCGGAGGAAAAGTTTAGGCACCAACAGTGATGTTGCTGCTGCTGCTGCAGGGAATACGTCCAGTCCTACCAATCCAGCCCCGACCAGCTCAGGGGTCACTCACACTATTGGAGTAATATGGTGTCGTGGTGGTATCTCGGTTGCACCGGGACGTCTTTCTCTCCTAGAGTTCCAAGACACTTGGGCACTAGTTTAGCTTGTCGCGGTTACTCAGGCTGGTGGAGTAGTTTTAGAGACTCGCGATAGTATAATGGAGGATAGTCTGACGCCACAGATCTTGCTGAGGATGGTAAAAAGGAGAAGTATCTGGCATCACCTCCATCGTTTTGAGTAGAACTCCCAGTTGAAGACACGGCTTATCCAGCATCGGCAAGACTATAGTAAATTAGAGAAGACTTCTAAACAGATGGAAGAGGAATTGGCCAATGCAAGTGTGCTGAAGAATGTGTAATTACCTTTGTAGTAGCTGATGTGGCATCGTTGTGTTAATCTTGGTTCAGGTGGCTACGAGTAGCTAAAGCATTCGATATAGAGGCGGATGAAGCTCAGCTGTTGGTGTCGAGCGACCTCATTGACGAGGTAGAATGAGTGCAGATTCTTAGCAGTGGCGTGTTATCTGTGACAGTAGCAGTGAGTGATTGTTGGTGTATCTGCAGGTTATTGGGCAACTCCGAAGCCAAGCTGGATCCTTTGCAGTAGTCAAAACGTCTCAGCTCGAGGCTAAGGCTGATACCGAGAAGGAGAGAGCTGATAAATTAGAGAATGAATTGGAGGATGTTCAATGCGAGAAAAACGTAAAGGATACGATCTCGGACGAACAGTGGCTTTGTTCTTTGGAGGGATGCGGTAGTTTATACGAAGTCATCAGTTACTTGTCAAGCAAGTGGTCCGTCTGAGGCATCAGCTTAATCCGGATCGTTTTAATGTATTGAACCCTGAGGAAGGATCGGCAGAGGAAGGTAACAGCAAAAGGACAGAAAAGGGAACTCATCATTACATGCAATGACATCGGTTGTTGCTTGTGATTTCCTGGACATGGTGTGCGTGATGGTTGTTCTTGGTCAGCTGCCGTACCGGCCTTGGCGAGGTCAGAGAGAGAACGTCGTGAGTTGATGGATGAAGTAGATCGGCTGAGGACTCAGCTTACAGTGAGCAGCGTTAATCTATATCGCCACTCAATACGCCATTTCAGATGTTATCTGCTCGTGAGTCGACTTCATGCACGGCTCTGCAGGAGTCTCTCAGTGCGGTAAGAGGACATGTGATGTTCTCCCCAATGGACCAGTCGCATTCAGATGAAACGTGACCGAGACGTGTGGCGAGATAGAGCAGCCAAGCTTGAAACTGATCATAACGTAGTACACGTGGCGAAACGAGGCTGGATGAGAAAGAGAGACGTGTCTTCTTTGTCAGTCTAAGATCGAACTTCTCCAACAGAAATTGAACGAATCGCAGAGAATCGGCAACTCCTGCTCGGGTGAGGGTGTAGAAAATGGACATCGAGTGAAATATTGCTGTCGGTCATCCCTCAGAAACGATGCGAGAAAGGCTCATGCGTTCGGCCTCTGAGGTTGGTAGTTTGAGAGCGGAAGTGACGAAGCTGAAAGCAGGTGACTACTGCCTAGTACTGAGTTGCTATCATGGCTTTTTACCACTCCCTGGGTAGATTGTGATGCCTCGGTTGCGGTGAATAAGGCACGGGAGGAGCGGTATAAAGTGATGGAGGAGTTCTTCTCGACGTATTCAAGTTTGGATGGTGCAATCTGAGTTGACGGATTGATGGTAGGTATCAAACAGACTTGGATGCGCGGCAAGAGGAATGTCGTAATCTTCACGATGCGGAGAAAGAGGCGACTGCCAAGATGCTGAAGATGGAAGAGGAGCGACGAGAGGATGTTCGAAAGGTAGTTTATGGGGATCGTATGGGGAGTAGTAGATCAGGGTAACAGGCTGAGCGTTTGGAGGAGGAACGGGCTGTTCTTAAAGAGCAGAAGCAGTGTAGATGTCTGGCATCTAATGAGTCTCTCAAAAGCGTGTGTCACAAGATGGCGAGTTCATTGGTGAAGACGCAGGTCGATCTTGAAGTGAGTCTAGTTGGTCGGCTCGAACTTGTTCCACATCGGTTCTGTTATAGTATAAGTCGGCAGAGTTGGCCAGAATACAACAGTTGTTGGATGCCGAACAGAGGCATAGCACTAAACTGAAGGAGAGAATGGCGTCTCTACGGAAGCAGGTTGATGTACTGTAGCGGTTTGTGTGGTATTTTGTATCCAATGGTATGTTAATATTAGACCGTTGTTTCTGGTGTTGATGATCACAAGTCGGAGTTTTCTCGGTTGTCTCAAGCGGCTAAGGTGAAGAGGCTCTCACATGCTCTCGGCGGCGATATTGAGCGACACTGTCAGGTACAAGAGCTTCAGAATGCTCGAGTGGTGGATAACTACTGGGATGCTCTTCGACAGAAGAATGAGAGTCTTGGGATCATTCAGCGACTGGTGAGGCGAAGCGAGAAGGGATGATCCGGATGGCTGTGCTCAGACCGAGGAGAGGGACGCTCTGCAGAAGCATGTGCAAGCGTTGGAGTCGGCGCATAGGCAGGCTAATGGAGCCTCGATGCAGGAGAATCAGCTTGTAGGGTAGAGGAATGATGAGTTGACGGAAGTGTGGTATGCAGGCACAGCAGAGCAATAATAATAGTCTTGCGGCTATGGGCCAGTGTAGGATGCAACTTGAGGTTGGTTTGTTTTGGGAGGTTATGCTTGAGAACTAGATCCTCAGACGATAGTAGCGGAGCAGAAGGAGAAGATGGAGTCGTTCAAGAGCACCATAACAATGCTCAAAGGTGCCGTGTCGAAAATCGTGATGGTATTCACTATTGTGTCTGTGCTCGCAAGGTGTGGCTGATAAATGTCAAGCTGATTGCAGGGAGAAGAACAAGAGGATTCTGGAGGTGGAGAAAACTAATATTCGACTAACTCGCCAACTTGAGAAAGTGGGTCTACCAGTGTTCCTTGCTTGTTGAGGAGAGTGAGTTGCAAGTCTTCTGTATTTCTCTTAGGCACGATCGTCGGGCAGCGGACACGTAGTGAGTGGAGTGGAAGGTAACGGCGTTGTGATGGTATCTTGTAGTAGTATGATGCCTCCTCAGGGTCTGGTCAATCACCATCGCCAGGGGCAGTAGTGGATGATAAGGCTCAGGCAATGTCTATCATAGAGCAGGAGGAGGTTCGAGCTTACCGAGTAGATGATCGACATGGTCGTGAAATTCGATGCAGTCTTCATTCGTGTAGTTGAAAGTGAAGTGCTCGATCTGCCAGCAGAATGATAAGCAGGTTGCACTGCAAAAGTGCATGCATTGTTTCTGTCGAACTTGTGTTAACGAGACCATGGTAGGAGAGTTCGCCTGGAGGCTAACCCACGTCCATTATCATCAGATACAAGCACGGAATAGGAAGTGTCCTCTGTGCGGTCAGAGATTCTCCGAGTCTGATGTTCGAACGGTAGGAATACACTGGATGCTATGGGTCCTAGGCCGATGGGCAGATACATTTATTGGAAGTCGGTGAGTGATGATGATGATGATGAAAGTGATAGTGTCGAGAATTTACGATTCTAATTGTATAATGTGTATACTTCTGCTGAAATGTGTTTCCGAATATTGGTATTTTTGTTACAACAGTCTGTGCATCACATCTAAGGATGATGACAGTAATCTCGGTGAGGAAGACGAGTAATCAGAGCATCGCAGATTCTTGAACGACTCAGTTTGTATTCACACACCGCAATGGTAGAGTAGTGATGTTATGATCGGTGGATTACTGGCCCAACGCTTGGGTGGGAACATATGTTAGGTTTCATCGACTGAAGTCGTAGGTTTCCTCACTATATTGTGAGAATCTACACGGTTGTGGGTAGAAGTGTACAAAAACCTAGGATAATTTCCCAAAATTTCCTCAGAATTTTCATACTTTTAGCAACACATGTAGTTGATCATGTGCATACATTCCCCCCCTCCCACACTGGTCCAACCTCTTCCCCTCTACCATCATCGGTAAACTATATCAAAATGAGCTGGGACTAAGAAATTAAAGACAGTTCACGGCAGCCTTGAAGTAGTCACAGTATTGCAGGCTCACGAGAGATGTCGTTAACACATGCCATAGAAGTCTATCTTATGCACTCGTACAGGCTGTAATCATTGACACAAGTGGCATTATAACACGACCGGGATGAAGCTTAGGTAACGGATCGACACAACCTGTGTAATTGTCGATGCATCTACATGAGAGCACTAAGGAGGAGCAGGTAAGAAAGGTCTTGTTAGATCGATTATAATACGACGAGCCACTACTGAGAATTGCATTTCGTTTGTCGCCCCGTAGCGAGCTAGACACAGAATCTTAGCTGGTAACAACACGATTGTCTACATTTCCAAACCAAGGCATGGTGTAGAGTGGAGTTCATTTCCTAGTTTGACCAGCTCAATTAGCATTGTAGTTCTTTTACGCTCTTTCATGTCTATTTTCGCTCACAAGTGGATCGTGCTATCAGTGGTTTCTGCTTCGGTTACCTCCTGTTTCTCGTCATCTGTTCAAGATGACTATTGCCGGAGATTTGTTGGTCCTGATTCCTATTGTGACCATTCAATCTGCCACGGTAGTCTCAATAGCTGTACCGAGTCCGCGATCATCAACAGTGTACTTGGACGACGCCAGGCTGATGCTGATGTTGTAGGCTCGGATGTTAGCATCTCGAGTGGTGCAACTGGTGTTCAAACCATGCTTGTTACGAACTGGGATGATTACTGTCGTGACAAGGTTGGTGCGGCATCTTATTGTAAAACGTGGGACCGGTTCCCAGTTTGTCAAGGATCTGATGTAAGCTGTGGTGACGGTGAAATTGCCACTCCTACTATTCCGGAAACTACCCGAGCTGCTGGTGATAAAACTACTGTTCCAGTGACTACGACACGTTCGGCTGCAGTGCTTACGACTAGTGGTGGAACGGTTAACTGGGATGAATATTGTCAGAAGGAAGTGGGACCCACTTCATATTGCAAGATATGGGATGCATCACCAGTATGTCAAGGCTCGAGTGTGAGGTGTGGTAATGGTGCTGTGGTGACGACAGAGCATAACTTCCACCCTACTACTCCTCATTCTGGAGGTGACCATGAGTACTGTCCAGGTATGCCTGCTGGTGAGTATTGTGGCAACATCAATGGCGAAATGGCTCTATTCCTCATCGAAGGAGACGTGTTCTTTTTCGATTACCGATATATTCATGGGGTAAAGGTTGACCTGAAGGAAGTCCCTTTCCATCTGCACAACTGCGAGGAGTTCGTGCCCGATTACTCAAGTTGGCAGATGGAGCGTTTAGCCCGAGAGTTGGGTCTGACCACCGATCAGCTTCGTCAGAAACTTACCATCACGTATCGTCGATCTAGTGATAGCTTCCACTTGTATTGGGAGCCGAATGTCTCGACAAGTATGTATCATGACGAGTGTTGAGTCTGAGAATGGTCGTCGTCATCATCACGGTTACTGAAGTGCTCTTTCCTGCGCTTGTTGTCTGCTTTGCTCCTCTCAGAGCTGTCTATCACCTTTTCTTTCGTCTAAGTCGATGAAATACTACTGGCTGTACTTCTTTTTTTTTCCGAGAGGTTCCTAGCGTGAACGCCGTGTGGATTGCACGGTACGGTCATGCGCAGCTGGCGTCTTCCAGCTTTCATCTGTGCGACCTTTGGTTGCCTATCTGAGCATTATGCTCTGCTGTGTGGCTCGTCTTTTTTCCTTCTACTCAACTTGGTATGTGTAATGCTTCGAGTTCGAGTGAGATCAAACCGGAGTTCGTAAGGGAGGTTTAAGTCATGGTTAATTATCAATGAATCGAAGACTGCGAATCATGGTTGTATCTTTCTAAGGCTTAAGAATCTAAGCATTTCAATGCTGGAAGATACAATATCGAAAGAGTCGATCTTTCATGCATCGCGTTGTGTCTGAGCGATCTCTACTTCAGAGCTAGTATTTGACCCTATACTTTGATCGATGTGAATGTGTAGTAGACACTACCATATATCGTTTATAACTTATGACATCCCAGAGGAATGGGAGATGGTGGACGAGGTCGTTATTGCCGAGGTGCAAGCAGCACGCTGCAGTTGAAAGCACGACCTGATGATACCCCATAGGATTTATATCAATTCACTCATCTTATTTGTATGTGAGCAGTCTAGCGTCTATTGAATCACTTTGGTTTCTACTGCGTGCTTCATTGTGCACGTTGTGTTCCTCTGTCGTCCAGGATTTCACTCTCGTCGATTCCTTAGCAGGAATCACTACCACAAACTGCGCACAGACTTGGGCCGTCAGAGGTCCGCATCATGTTACATTTTAGTAACAAGTTGGCATTGGAAGTTAACCGCATGCTTATATTATCCATGATGCTCAGCACGAGTTATGGTCAGCAGAGCTTAACCTGTCGCCTCGGGGTGGTGAATGGCGACGCCTCTCTCTTCCCTGGCCGAAGCTTCACTCTAGAGACTCGATCAAGCTCAATACCCTTATATGAATACTGGACTCTTGCGTCCGGAGTGGTATGTAAGCAATGACACGATAAGAAGGTAACATAACATTATTACTTCAGTGACACTCGGGATGTTCAATAAACCTCTCCTGAGTATTAAGAGCGCTCTCAGGATAGAGTTTTACATATAAAATTCAATCCCAGGGGCACTTTCGAAACTCAGGAGAGGTCTATTGAACACCCCGATTGAAATCCAAGGTCACAAACCTCATTGGTAATCATCATCATCATCATCATCATCATCCTTGGCTCACTTGCAGTTCTTGCGTTTCTCTCAACGACTTCATCAGACGCATCATTGAACACGGTATAGTGTATGATCTCACTGTCGTCGTCCATAATACCGAGCTAATATCAACCCAAACCCAAGGTAGAGGTAAGATAAGAGTATCGATGTGATAGAGAGACGAAAGGTGAATCTCAGGAAGAGATTCGATAAGGGGTTGGTTCGGCGTCACACTTGCTCGTGCGTACACGTGGCACGCGGGCGAGCACACGCCCCCCCTTGAAAAAGGCCGAATCATCGGCGGAAAATGGATGAGAACGAAGAAGCTAGATTCCAGACACACCAAGAGTACCGAGGAGATCCTTCAGCTTCTTGGTTGGTCTGCCCGCCTGGGTGAGTTTAACATCAGGACCGGAGCACAGAACATCAGATGTTCGGATCTCTACTTCGTATATATCTTCATCATCTTGGCCTCGACGATCATGCCAACACCCCTTGTCGTCGACAAAAAGACGCTGGACATATAGGTTGTCACCATCTCTGCTTAGGAACTTACCGAAATCGATGCCAATCGTTCCGTCATCGTCCTCGTCGTTGAAGACAGATCGGAAAACAATGAGGTCACCAGGAGAGAGCTCATCTTCGGATCGTTCACGCGCCTCTTGCATCTCTGGGACATCGAAATCGCCGTAGAGCCTAGCTAGGCTAGTGGGTGGTGCTTTAAAGAGTTGCCACGTGGGGACTTCCTTAGAACCATGTGGACCTTCAATGGTAGCCATGGTGCCTGCCTCATTGATATCGGACACCGTGAAGGGACCACCTACTCTCCTCTTCTTCAGACCATCAACGATAACCCTGAAGACAGAATCGTCGACCTCAACTCTCTCACTGCGACGGGGACGATCTACAAGATTCCCGACACGGTGCTCCAAAATAGCACGTCGCCAGTATCGCTCAAGAGCGGAAACATCTTGGCGAAGGTCAGACAGAAACCTTGCAGCATCACCGATGTCGGGTGTCGGTTGATCAGCCTCTAGGAGCGCTTGGACACAGTCTCTCGTTTTACCACCGTAAACCAACTCCTCGGGCGTAATGGTCTCGTCGTAAAGTGCGGTAGTATTATGTATTCTCGCGACCCAGGCGATGTTCCGGAGGGCCATGCCGATAGGAATGTGAGAGCATAGCTTACGAATACCCATCTTGACAACGTGAACGCATTGCTCTGCTGCTCCCTGGGCTTGGGCGTGGTGCCCTCCGCTTGTCTGCGAAGTAATGTTGAAGGCAGCCAGGACACCTTTCATCACTCGGGAGGTATAAGCCGGATCTTGATCCGATAAAATCTGTAAGGGGGGACCAAAACGCAGGCTCCACTGTACCAGGCATTTGATAGTCGAGTTGGCTGTCTGGTCCCCAACCAAATATAGCTCAAGCCAGGACGTCGTGGCGTCGACTGCTACGAGAATGCTGGGAGAGTCCCAGTTCTCTACCACCACCCCCTGAAAAGGGCCTAGAAAGTCGATGACGACGCGTTGAAATCTCGGGCTGACGGAGTGCGGTCGTTGACCACCCAGGGGTAGAAGCCGAATAGCCTCCCGTCTGCATATCCAACATTTCATCATAAAGCCCTTGACATCGGACTTGAGGGATGGCCACCAGACCTGTTCCTGTAGACGGCCGATGATGAACTTCAGAGGTGTGTGATGCCAGTGGGTCTTCCCAAGGATCTTCGTCCGCAATCGATCTTCCCAGGGAACATCCTTCTCGAAAGGGACATATAAGCGACCACCGTATTCCACATCGTTGAAATAAAGATTACCATCGAACGAGTGGAAGTAGAGGTCGCTAGCATTCAGCTCGTTCAGCTTGCGCTGGTCCTCCGGGATGGTAACTAGACGCCGCAGCTCGAGACCCCTCCATTTAGTAGAGTCATTTATTAGGGTTCTCGCACAACACTGAATGAAATCAGTGGTGAGCATAGAGTCACCTTCGACGTCTTCGCTATCTTCATTCAGGAGAAAAACTGCGGGTTTATCATGCCCGATGGGCGTAGGTAGGGTCAGCGTCGAAGGGTAGCGTGATAAAAAATCGGCTCTGATATTAGAGGAGCCGGGGATATGGAGGGTGTGCACCTCAACCCCACGAGCCGTCAGGATGCCTTCGGCTTCACCGAATTGACCAAGCAGCCTCCTCAGAGCCAACTTGTCGAAACCCCGCAGCTTGGCGATATGGGTCTCACACCACCGTACCGCCGACATGTTGTCAGAATGTAGTAGAACCCGGGAGACAGCTGCGCCTAGCTCGACGATCCGTAAGGCCTTCTTAAGAGCGTCGATGAGGGCAAACATTTCTCGCCGGTTCGTATGCCAGCGTAGGCCACTGGGAAAACGTTGAGACTTCTCAGATATAATGTGGCCGTTCTCAGTACCGATAGTCCATCCAAAACTCTCTTCAGCAGCGTCGGCATGTACCACTACGGATGCGCAGTCCCCCCAAGATGGGTGCTCACAAACAGACGAAAGTTCCCTGACCTTGGAGAGGAGGTTCTTGATGGTGTATGTATCACGCTCAGTCAGCGGTAGAGGTATATCCCAGGATTTTCTGTCTTTAGCTTCGCCAAAGACACCGCACCACCTTCTTATTTCATTGGTGATGAGGCTCCGCTCGGCATGTACCCCCAGCGGATCAGTGTAGAGACCACAGATCTTGAAAAGGCGACGCTTAGTCAACACCTTGTTGAGCTCGGCATCGTGCTCCTCTTGGGGTACCTCGGGACATGCCGCACAGAGCCGACCGTCTTTGAAATACCAGAGTAGGCCCAGGTGCTTGCTTGGTATCTCACTGTCCGTTGGTCCCAGCGTAGCAGCTTTCTCATTGGGAAAGGTAACGCCGAAGCGCTCTCCAATCCTATCCATTAGGGTGCTTACTGTCTCCAGCAAGCGGGGATCTTTCCCTCCCAAGATGAAGTCGTCATAGTAGCAGAGCATCAGAAGACCATCAATATACCGGCACCGCTCCTCAGGTGTCAGAGTCTCCGGAGGGTCCACACCAGTAAGAGCCGTATACACGGCTGAGGTGAAGTGATCGGTGAAACAGGCTAGGGCTAGGGGTCCGAATCGAACCCCAAAAACCACCCGTGATGAGCGGAAAGATAGGCCCGAGCTGCACAAGTGCAGCTCCCTCTCTCGAGGGAGATGTAAGCGGTAGAACGCTTTTGAGATATCTTTTACCCTCAGGCACTTCAGATCAGATGCGAGAATGGCGGTGATGTTGTCGGACAGACTAAGATTGTAGTACCCAGCAGCCGGGAAGAAGAAATTCCTCCGGCGGCAATCGGCACATGGCCTAATTTTATGCCCCGGGTGGTTCTCTTGTGACACCGGGAACACCACTATCTCCCCGTAGGGAGACCGATCCTCTCGAGAACGCTCCTGCCACCAGCCTCGCTTGATGTACGTCTGAAGCTCCTTGTGGAAAGCCGCCTTGGACTCTGAAGACAGTGGTTCCAGTAGGGCGCCAGAGTAGTCATGGGTGTGTGAGGGTCGGGGTTCGACCGTTTGTGGATGCCCACTGATCCAATCGAATTCGAAACAGTGGGTCTGCTTGGGGCAATCGGTCTCCTTTTCATCAGGGGAGGTCACGGGGCGTATACGGCATCTATACCATTTGTTGCCCTTGGCAGGCACCCAGTCCTTCAGGTGTCGGATCATGTAATCCACACCTCTTTGGACCATAACGTCTATATCGTCGTCACCGGGCTTGACCTTAGGGACGGGAACACTGTATTTGATGAAAGAATCCAAACTGCCGCTGCGCGTCTTCTCGACGACGCTAGGGTTGGGGTCTACTTGACTAGTCCACGTAGACTCCACCGGGGACGACTCATCATTGTCGTCGTTTTTAGACAAGTCTTCCTCAATAGGGCCCCCAAAGGGGCGTTCCTTGAAGAAATCGTACTTGTCGATGATACCTTCCGCCCACAGATAGTAGCTCACCAGGTCTTCATCGGGTGCACAGTTGAGCTCAGCGCTAAGGTGAGGGCTTCTAGGAAGAGCATCGCTATCTTGGATGACGTCATCGTTCACGTTAACCAATCTATATCCCAGTTGGTGTAGCGTGGACTTGCCCAGCAGAATATCAAACTGCTGGCCTGGGACCAGACGATCCGGTAAGATGTAGAAACGTCCATCCACGGTCTTGTTGTTAGCAATAACTTGGATCACTGCCATGCGGTCCAGTTTAGTGCAGCCGCCTAACGATTTGACAGTGATACTATTCACTCCCAGATCGATTGTGCTGGACCGGAGATCCTCAATAGCCTTCTGGCTACATAGGTTGACACTGGAACAAGTGTCCAGTGCCGCCTTAAGCTTGGTGGTTCCTGAGTCGTGGTTCAGAACTTCGACGGTGGTAGTAGTCCAACCCGGATGAGGCTTGGCTGCTCCCTCGGCCAAAGCGTAGGAAACTTCTTTCTTCTCTTCCGCCTTCTGGTCGAGCTTGGTGGTAGATTCCTTGCCAGAGCCCTCCGAGACCTTAGGGTTACTCTTCTTCCAAGGGGCTTTGCAGCTCTTGGCCCAATGCCCCGTCTTACCGCAGTTCCTACATGGCCCTTTGGGGCCAGTGGAGCTCAAACCCGCCTGGGGCATTGCTCCTTTGGAGGTGTTAGTGGGCGTTGGTGTCGATGACTGACCATTTGCAGTAGTAGCTTGGGTAGTGTTGGCACCGCCACCAGCTAATGTCGAGGAAGGCGTCGAAGGTTTTACCCCTTCCTGTCCTCTGCGACTGCTGCCGCCTTTTTTGGATTGACGATCGAGAGGTAAACCTAGTAAATCATCAATGTCACGGGGGTAGTGATCTTTCTCCAAAACGGACAGATGGTCGAAGAAAGCCGAGGAGCTCTTAGATTCCCGTAGCTTGGGGAAGTACTGCAGTTTGGCCAAGTCGTTGTTGAAGAAAGGGTACGCCTTCAGAGCTCTTATAAGTTTATCACGTCTGATCTCCCATGACCCATCGCTAAACTGTTCTAGTTGTGAGTGGAAGGATTTCTCCTTGGAGACAAATTCAGACCATGATTCTCCGTCCTTGGGGTATACATTGCACCATCTTCTGAGCAGTTCTGATTTATCACTCACTCGGAGATCGGCGTCTATTCTGCTGACTACGGCGGTCAGAACCTCATTACATTTTTTTAACCAAGACCCCACCAATGTACCCATCAACTGTTCACCGGCAGAATTTCCCGGCTCTGGGATGGATATATCTCTCCACGCCGTGAGATCAGTTAAGTTCTCCAGGCATCGCTCCTGTATCCGGCGCGAGACGGTCAGGGGAACGATGTGAGTTAACCACATGATAAACATTGGAGCAGCTAGATGAGCCAGATGAGCAGTAGACCGGATCTTCAGCCAGATTTGCTCGTTCCAGTTAGCCATTTGGTCTATTTTTGAGAGTCCCCATTCTTTTGTAAAGTTATGGAAAGAGCGGACCCGTTTGCCCGAAGGACAGAGAAGACATAGACCTTTGGTTTGATTGTATGGAACAAATTTCCCGAAACCAAGGATAGTAATAGCCGCTTGGTGAGGATCGTTCAACTTCCGAAGATACCTCTCCGAAAAATAATCAGTTTTGTCGTTGGAGTGAGCCTCGATCTCAGATTTCTCCACCGTGTCACCCAAAAAAGCAAATCGCTTCATATCGGATGATGCACCATGCATCATTGGTCTAGTGGTAGAATACAACGTTGCCATCGTTGTGACCCGAGTTCGTTTCTCGGATGATGCACCATGTATGATCTCACTGTCGTCGTCCATAATACCGAGCTAATATCAACCCAAACCCAAGGTAGAGGTAAGATAAGAGTATCGATGTGATAGAGAGACGAAAGGTGAATCTCAGGAAGAGATTCGATAAGGGGTTGGTTCGGCGTCACACTTGCTCGTGCGTACACGTGGCACGCGGGCGAGCACAATAGTGTTGGTTGGCTACAGGACCCTTTTATTACAATGTCGGAACATCATGGGAAAGGGAAAGGGTACCGTGGAGGTAAAGGAAAGGGCAGTCGAGGAGGTAGTAGGGCTAAGCATAGGGCTGATAGAGAGGATGTTGATACAGGCGATCACCATCGTAGTTCTATAAGGCCTTCCGTGATTGACCTGGAACGCTTGATGCATCAACGTGTCACTGTTAAGCTTACAGGAGGACGCGAAGGTAGTGGTCAATGCATGGTCCATGCCTGGTCTATTGATATCCCTTCCAGTGAGCGGAGTTTTGAAAGGCTTCGATCCAGTCCCGAATCTAGTCCTCGATGAGAGCATTGAATACCTTAGAGATCCAGAAGACCCCTACAAGCTGTCAGGAAAGACTCGAAATTTGGGTATTGTCTAAGCTCAGCGATGTAGCGACGTCCCTGTCTCGTATTAGGTCTACTTGTTGCCCGCGGCACGTCTGTAGTGTTGGTGTGTCCAAGCACTGGTATTACTGAGATCGACAACCCCTTTACGGAGGTACCTACCGAGTAGTGTGCATATACACATTTCCTTACGTATGCCCTTCTTGTTGCGTTCGAGTATCCAATCCAGACTCCTGACGGCGTCGCTTCGTTTTGGATGGTTTCAGGGGTATGTCGAGCCAGTGTATGGTTGTGACCTTAGGCTCTGGACAAGCTCTCAATTAAGGCCTAATGCAACGTCGAAGAGGGTTCCACTGAACTAAGCGATATAGCGTAGTGGAGTAATGGGACTCACTTGGTCAAACTCGTTTGACATTAGGCGTTCCGGTCGTGCCTCTCCAGTGTTGAGTACTGCTCTTGTGTCCCCGAACTCTCTGTCCGACACTATGGGGTTCAACCACCTCTTTCCGGTGCGGGCAACGATCATATTGTGGGGGAGAGGATGCTTTCGGGAAGCATATGAGAATGTGGATATGGGGGTTATCAAGCTCATAGATTGCGGTTCATGCGTCGCCATATCCACTGGAGCGGAGAAAACCTTGGGACATCTATTACCCGTTCCAGGGCGACTCTCAGGCGTTCCAAATTGTGTCTTATCGGACTCTGTGCATTGATCCTTGCGCTCATGTGGGACGTGGCGCCGCATATGGTTGGTGATCGGTAACTTAACTGGTATTAGGGATAGTTTCAAAGTCGACTGTGTGGTGGACGACAGTACCATTATAATAATCTCTTTGCGAAACAGGATGAGCCATTAGTCGGGGAATTACTTATGGGGAATGCGGAGTGAAGCACGCTCAGGTCTAGACGTAAAGCTTGCGATATCTTCATGCACTTTTGATCACATCGCCTAAGGGAGACATTCGTGGTTGATTCGGTGTTGTAGTCAAGTTGACTAAGTCAACTCCTCATGAAGATCCTCTTGAACCGCTTTTCGCGAAAGCGTGGTTTATTCCTTGCAGTTGTGTTCCTAAATTATTCTGCTGAAAATGTTGAGCAAAGCATTGATGCCTCACGCAACAATCTGGAAAACTGGTGGTGGTCAGGGAGCGGTATGCATATTGGAAATTAGTATAGAGCCAAGGAGTAAAGGATTGAGCCTCTCTCGAGTGTAGTCTGCTGTAGCAAAACCGTTTTTCTCGTGGAGAGGTGTTTTTAATCATGTCATAGGGTATCATATCACAGCTGTCCAGGCTGGAACCGGATATCAACCTGCGAACGCTTTGAGGCCGACACAGACGGGTGAAAGAGTGTACAATAGGGCCACGAAATAATATAACATAGTCCCGGCATCATGCAGATGATGAATGTGTGAATGAAAAGGCTGTTCTTGAATGACCGTGAGCGGTTGAAGCGCAAAGCCACATCGTTAGTGTCAAGCTAAGGGAAGCTTTGTGGACACTAGGGTTATTAAGAACGAATTGAATTTTTCCGTTCCGACAAAAACGCGAAACGTGAAACGCTTCGCTCCGCTCGGCTTTGACCTTAGCTCATAATGGTTGGCGCTGACCTTACCCCTTAGAGTTGTGATTAGTCGACATCATGTCATCTACTACTGCTGCTGCTACGTTCAACCCCTTCTTGGACCCCTGCTATGACGAGTCATGGGGATGCACTTTCAACAGTATGTCCCCATACATGTGGTAAGTGTAGAGCGAGTGAACTACAGCTATTAAAGTCGATTAATGTCATCCAATGTAATGATGATACTGTCAGGGCTAACCTCGGCATTACCTTCTCTCTGGCTTTCTCCGTTATTGGCGCCGCATGGGGTATATTCCTGACTGGTTCTTCATTGGTTGGAGCTGCTGTACGTGCTCCTAGGATCAAGTAATGAGTGGCAACAGGAGTCACGGGTTTGACTTGCGAATACGACCGCCGTTCACAACATTGATGTTTCCATCTAATCTGTGTGTCACAGGTCCAAGAATCTTGTTTCCATCATCTTCTGTGAGGCTGTCGCTATCTATGGTGTTATCATGAGTATCATCATGAACTCCAAGATGGAGGGTGCTAGAGAATTCGTTCCCCCAGCTATCCCCACTGGTGAGTAGATTTCCTTTCTTGTTGTTAGCATATCATTCTTCAACAGGTAACATGGCTGTTGCCCAGGCTGCTGGATACTGCCTCTTCGCATGCGGTCTCTCTGTTGGTTTCTCTAACCTCTTCTGTGGTGTCTGTGTCGGTGTCTCTGGTTCCGGCTGTGCTCTTGGTGATGCTCAGAAGCCCGAGTTGTTCGTCAAGATGCTAGTTGTTGAGATCTTCGGCAGTGCCCTCGGACTGTTCGGTATCATTGTTGGTATCATCCAGGCTGGTCAGGGTACCTTCCCTAAGGACATCACTCCCCAAATCCCCATGTAAAGAAGGAGTATCATGACGATGATGATCGGAGATGACAGTATTGGGATGAGCAGTTCTCTTCTATCCGTTATTGAGTGTCTCAATGGTTGCTAAGACTTGTGGCATTCTCAGTTGAAAGTCCTTAAAGGCTTCAACGCTTCCAATAGAAGCAATTGTGTTCCCACTCATTGAGTCGATCTTTGCTTGACATCGTATGTTCTACCATCATCATCATCATTGTTACCATTCTCGGGAATAGGAATCAAGTGTGGTCGTCGCCACTATCCCTAGTTTTTGAGGCGTCGCTCTTGATGAGAGTAATACCATTACAGTTGCCCTGGCCAATCGATCTGTCCTAGTGTCAGTTGATGATGATCGTTTTATATCACCGCTTGTAGAAAGAGTGTTCAGCGATCGTCTATACTGCTGGCAGTATCTACGCTATGGGTTAAACGCGTTCATCTGGCGTGAATAATTCTTCATTTTGTGACTCTTGCGTTGAGTGGTGGTGAATAGAAGTCAGCTGTTCTCGGGCTGTTGACGGATCACATCTGGTTGGAAGTGAGATGCATGTGTGTGTGTGTGTGTGTGTGTGTGTGTGCGATATTAAAGTCCAACGCTGACAAACACGGCTTAGTTAGACTCGCATCGATGCACATTAGCTCACGAGGAATCAGTTTTAGCCTTTTAAGTTGTCTACTTTCATCATGCCAATGAGTTTTGTTCACAGGGAGAGATAACCTCTGCCAATGTACTTCCTTTCTGATACATGTTGTGGCCTCGCTATGTTCCGTTTGTTCTTAAACTTATCTGGGGCTACGCTCCTGATACCGATCAGGTTTCTTGTGTGGGGACGTCCTATTTGATGTAACTTGAATGGGTGTCCTTCGTTAGCGACTGACATCCTCACTTTTGTACTCCGATGATGACGAAAACAGGTGTTTCGTGAAGGGTTCTTTCTAATTAGTATTTTGTCATTTGGCCGACTCTCAAGAACCTTTCCGGGATTCATTTCATCAATTTTGGTTATTTAGCGACTTGAACCATGCTTCGTTCTGTTTATATTGTGAAGGCCTTGATTCCAACTTTATCCAGTGGAAGCTTTCCGCTGAGTCCTGTTGTGTTGCCCAGTTACGAGAAAATCGTAATTATCTAATAACGTGGTAGAACTCACTAGTAAATACGTAATGTGTGCGTTGAATCCAACATCATTCGATTCCTGCCGATCGATTGGTATCCTTTCTGTTTCCACAAGGAGTGAAAACTATACCGCAGATCGTGCCGAGCGGAAAGGAAGTACATTGATAGAGGTTTTCTCGCGCTGTGGACAAAACTCATTGGCATGATGAAAGAAGACTATTTGAAAGGCTAAAGTTAATCCCTCGTGAGCTAATATGCATCGATGCGAGTCTAAGCAGTGTTGTCGACTTTAAACTCACACACACACACACACTCATAAACACACGTACACACACCGCAGATTGTGATGCTATTGTCAGAAGATTCCGTATCACCACACAACGAACGACTCTTCCCTTAAAATATCGTTCTAGGGAGTATGCCCATATACGCCATGTCAACTTTACTCGATCACGCAAGGCTCAGCAGATCAGAGCGGATAATAACCGTTACTATGCTGCCAAAATTATTCCCAATATCTCTGACCATATCCACTAACATGTTATGAGAAAAAGAAATGGTATTGTGACGAAAGACAGCGGCCATGATGACAGCCATCAGACGATTTGCTAAGATGCTCTTCCCACATCAACGAGGAGGTAGTAACAGAAGTTAGTACCAATACCTATCAATACAGGGGTGAACCAGAGGATATACGAACATAGACTAACGGCTCACCTCGATCGAGTTCCCTCCTCTACATCGTTCTTGCACATCAAGAAGCCTGTATACCACATAAGGGAGGGTATGAGGAAGTCGGACCACTTCGTAAAGCGCCAGAAGTAACTGATTATGGCAGAGCGTCCAAGAGTTCACACTCAGAGACATCTACCGGGTTGGGAGGTTCCACCACCACTGGAAGAAGATCTTCTGTTGCATCGGCGAAACGCCTTGTTGGATTTGTCCACCGGGCACCTGATAATCATCAGGAAGGAACGATTGTATAATATGCCTACCTGAAAACGTCCTCGCCAGAAGTTCTTCGATTCAGGGGGAACTGGATAGCTTCCGAGTCGTCTGATATCACGCTTGGTGTTGGGGCGCATAGGGCCCACTGCACGGGCACTCACACGCACTAGGTTAACCATTGCGGTATATGATGAGAGGATACCCTGACTCGAACACGTAAAGCATCAAAATTGACTTCGGCCGGACAGGACACAGTACGGCGCAGAGAGCAACTCAGACTCCGATCTCAGACGAAGATTCAGACAAATCACGAAGTGTAAGTTCGCAGGAGCAAGCAGTGGTATAGTATCACTCTAGAAGGACCGAGTGGTATCAAGAACATTGCTATTGAGAGCCTCCGTTGTTATATTCGACAGTTCAGCACTTTTAGACTAGCGCGCGCCCAAATGATCGATTATCAAGGGGCCAAATTCGTCGACACGCAAACTGCTGATTCGTTTCGGGAATCAAGTGAGATATCCCTTATACATTTTCGGATAACATCTATTGTCTTGGACTGAGGTTGATCATATTAGTGCAGTCTTCGATCCTCGGGGAATGGGAGATCGTCGGGGACGGTTGAAACGCTCGATGGGAACTTGAAAAATCGAGAGGTAGCATTATAATTTTAAAGTTATCCGTCGGGTACTTCCCTCGTCAATGGCCAAACAGACGAGGAACAAGGGTTTAGGAGGCGCCAAGTCGAGAGGGCAAGGGAAGGCGTTCAATCCTGGCAATGCCAGTACTAATCCCGACAGGTAATACTCGAGAGGAGAGGGTCCACAGGTTAATCCCAGTATTCAGGAAAACCGCGAGTAACTCTCCGGGCTTTATGCGCTCCAAGAATACGATCAAGCGACTCAACATGTACAGTCAGAAGCTGAAGAAGGCTGATTTGAACAAAGTATTATCTTTGAGAATTGAGGGTGTCATTCAGCGTGTAATTTTCAGCGTAAAATCCAGCCAACTGGGCCGGCTCGGATCGCCCCTGATCGTCGATGGTTCGGCAACACACGCGTTTTGAGTCAGCAAAAGTTGCAGAAGTTCAGAGAGGAAATCGGCCAGAGCGTGAATGACCCTTTCCAGGTATTCCTTGCGTGAGCTTGCCTCAATTTTTCCGTCACTTCATCGGTCACAATGTAGTTTTAATTTTGACACTATTCAGTTTCTAGCCGGCGATCGGATCGCTGATTGCATTGAATGAATTTCTGTCGTCGGCAACACGTCATTTTTCTCATTTCCTTTCGGTGATATGATATGTCGAATATTGGAGTTTTACCCGTGATAGGAAAAACACCAGTGAAAAATATATATCTTCCACGACTATTGCATAGCGCCAATATCGCTATTTTCGCAGAGTATCACGGCACTTCACGTAAAACGGGTGAAACTTCATTATTGGATCATGAGTTCATCAGGTGGTATTGAAGTCGTCCAAACTACCGATGTCGTTGTTGACGGAAGGCCAGAACGAGAGTGAGCAACCTCGAGGAAAGGTCGCCCGGAAGAATCTCCTCGCTGTGGAACCGTAGCCATAACTAGTTTGGTAACTATCACGAATGGTGGTTCCCATCAGCTTTGACAAGACGTTCGGGTCGACTAAGACTCGTAAGCGACCACGTCTGAGCACTGGCAGTATGGAGGAGATGGCTAACAAGGCTAGCCGTAGGAAGCGTTTTATGAGGAGGAGGAGGAGGTGCTTGTTATGATGCTTTAGGTATGGCTGAGGACTATGATCCCAGCAAGGACAAGAGCTGTGAGGAAAATCGTGTGCTCAGGGATGAAGAGTAGTGGGGGTGGTGGCGGCGGCGGCCAGGCTAGGCATGGATTTCTTGGGAGCGTCTCCCTCACAGACACACTGTCGTGAATGAGGAGGTGTTCAAGAAGGGCACATCTCGCCGTATCTGGCAAGAGCTGTATAAAGTGGTTGACTCTAGTGATGTTATCCTTGAGGTTATCGACGCCCGCGATCCAATGGGAACGAGGTTCGTCACCACGGTGTTTCCAAAGCCGCTCCTTATGGTGGTTGATCAGATGCCAGAAGCTCGAGAGAGAAATCAGAAGAACTCGACCGAACAAGCATATCGTCTTGGTATGAGTAGTATCAGTTGGGAGGAGGTTGAATTTGGCAGTTCAGATTCTCAATAAGTGCGATCTTATACCGACGTGGGCGACCAAGCGTTGGGTACAGGTGTTGAGTAAGGAGTTCCCCACCCTAGCCTTCCATGCGAGTGAGGAGACGGTGATGATCGTGGAACGATTATCGATCCTCCTTCTCAGGTGTGACCAACCCCTTCGGAAAGTCAGCTCTGTTTCAATTGTTACGACAGTTTGCTCAGCTGCTGAAGGAGAGGAAGTAGGGCGGCACATCTGACTGGGATTTCGCATGTGTGTGTAGGCACGTATCAATAGGCATGATCGGCTACCCCAATGTGGGCAAAAGCTCGGTCATCAACGCGTTGAAGAGGAAGAAGGTCTGCAAGGCGGCTCCTGTGCCAGGTAAGGACGTCGTGGATGTCTGTGTGTGCAGGATGGAGGGATCGTTGCCTTAGGGGAGACGAAGGTATGGCAGTATGTTGCTCTTACTAAGAGGATATATCTCATTGATTGCCCTGGTATTGTACCGGCTACTAGCGATGATTTCAAACAGGTGAGGTGGAACAAGATTATATAATTATTAATGATAGTTTAATAAAGCCGTTTTGATGTATAAATTTCAATGATATCGTCATGTAATATTATGCAGTATTAATTAGGTATAGTTGTGAAAAAATGGGAGAATGAATTTCCCTTGGTGGTTTTGTCGTTAGGATTGTGCTAAGATTCTCAAGGGAGTTGTACGGCCAGAAAGGGTGGAGAACCCTAGCAGCTATATAGATGAGGTAACGTGAGAGGTATCTCGAGATGAAGTGCGAGAGGAGTGGTATCAGGTGCTCTCTCGGGCTAAGCGGGAGGATCTGATCACAAAATATAGTTTGCCTAATGACTTCCAATGGGCTGATGGAGACGACTTTCTCACTAAGGTGGAGACATGCGCTGGGAAGGGTGAGAGATTTATGGTATGTTCAGTTGGCACAACAAATGGGAAAACTCCGCAAGGGGGGAGAAGCTGATATTGAGACCACGGCTAGGATAGTCCTCTACGACTGGCAGAAGTAGTGAAGTGGCAGTGTGAGGAGAGGAGTTACTATGGTTTGTTCGTAGGGGCCGAATACCGTATTTTGAGCTACCACCTAAGGAGGACGAGGGCGAGGAGGAAGAGGAAGAAGGGGATGATGGGAAGCAGATGATCACTGTAGGGGGCTGTATTTGGAGGGCTACTGTAGTGTAGTAATGGTAGTGACAGATCCATCAAGATTTATCCAATATCGATGAAGCCCTTGGGGATAGTGTGGAGGAGGACGCTACTGGGGAGCACGAAGAAGAGCCAACGGTTTCTGCGAAGGGTAAGTAGATGTCGTTGGAATTCGGTGACTTGTGCTGAAGTTTGAAACGCGCTTTCTTGTGAAGAATAATGTTGGTAACATCATTATAGTTAATCACTGTGTTGTATAGCGATTATGTCCATCCCCTCCCCAGAGATGATGATGGGATTCACATATGCTGTTTATAGGTACCACGGCAGCAACAGCTGCTGAGGCGGTGACCGCAGCTGGTGAGGAAGTCGACTGGGATAAACTACAGGAGGATTTTGATCAAGAAGAGTAGAACCGCCTCTGTCTATTCACACGTATGATATTTTCCCCAAGTTGGTGTAGTGGCTCTACTTGGGAATTCTCAACGTCGGCTATTGTTACTATACGCTTGTTTCTCGTCGTACTGTTGGCGGTTGTTTTCAGTGGGGGGTGAATCGGTGGTGATTGTTGTTGTTATCGTTTCGTGTTGTCCTATAATGCAATTTATCGGTGCACTTGTCATCTTGCCATTACTCTTCGACTTCGTACGAGGAAAGGAGGTAATGTGGTTTCGAGTGTAGTGTCGTCTCCAATGCATAGCTCGCTGATACTGCTTGTGATGGAAATTATAGTGGGCGCCTCACGTTGGGAACTTGGGCGTGTGATGGTATCAGTACTTAGTGTGTTCGCTCAGGAGGGTGGTACAGACCCATCAGTTTTGGGCGGCGATATGAGAGAGTTCGAGAAGTCCTCTATCGATCGTCTTGCACACATTTATCACGATGCTGCGACCAGTGTGGTGAGGAGGGGCATATCATCATCGTTGGAGTGAAGGTGGACACTACTTCAGTTTGCCTCACTGCGAAAATGAATGCAGTGGATCTGCCTGGGTGTAATTTCTAGTTGTATTGTTTATTATTATCATCAGATATCTAATGCATCAGCCGTTACGAATTCAGCGTACTCATCTTCTTCCACCTTACCGGACTTGCCGGATGGACATGAGCGCATTGTGAGGCCTTCGTTCCTCTGATGTTAGTGGCGCCCTTTCTGATCGAAAATGTGTGCAAGTCTAGGATCGGACATTTGATTTATCATCAGCTATACTCTGAGTCTGGCTCTTCAACTTCAGATGAAGTATCTCTATACGGTACTCCTCCTATGTATGGCTTTCATAGCGGCAGCGATGTGTGTACGGATTTATCGCTCTGAAGCTCAGCGTCGTGCTAGACGTGGCGTTCCGTCGGATGAGATGACGAAGGCCCTCCTAGGGCATCATCCGACTACTACCACGGATGCTGGTGATGATGGCGGCGATAGTGGTGATGGTGGTCGACCCTCGTCCTACTACCGTGTACTATAACGAGAATTGAATTTTCTATCATGTCGGTATGCTACTGCCAAGTCCTCAACGGTCGTGAAACCAGTATCGTCTCGAGTATCATTTCAAGTTGGATGAGTACTTTATGTTGTGTTGGATAATTTCGGTCTTATTCGATCTGAATGGGGGCTTGGTCGTAGTAGTGCTCGAAGGATCGCTTCCTGTGACATGTATACTCATCAACACACATCTTCTGAAGAACATCAAACTAGGGTGGGAGGGAAATCGAACATTTTGATGGAGAAGGGGGAGTCAAAGGCCGCTCAGGTGAGGCTGACGTTCCCTATAGAGGACCCAAGCCTGTTCAGGGTCATTCGTTCGTGTCGACACCACTCCAGTCGAAGAAGAGGCCCCTAGCAGTAAGCGAAGGGGGTTTGGACATCGACTTCAACGCTACTGCGGCAACTCCATCAACGGCTGCTACTACGAGGGGAGACTCAGCACTTCGGGGGAATCCTTGTTCTATAAGGGTGAGGTGGCGATCGCGTCATTGACTGATGAACTATGTGCCTATGGGATCTACTGCTGTATGTGTTGCACACCTACCATGTCATTTAGAAGTGGTATTAGAGTATAGGTTTCATTTACTCAGTTTAGAAGTTGTAGAAATTCACACACAAGTTAGAGTAAAAGTGAACACGATCAATAGGAATTCCTCAGAATTCCCGGAGAATTCTCGGTAACACTTGTTGATCGTATGCATGGAATATTGTTAGTTCGTATTACGCGGTTTCATAAGGCACTCTTTCTTCATGCAGTTATTCCGAGAGGATTCCAGTGCTGGTAGCATCTCCGCGCAAACGCCTGTTGGAAACACCATCAAGCGACTCCCGCCCCTGAATGCAGTTCGGTCTCCACTACCGAAACTGCAGGCCTCGGCGACAACTCCAACCGGGGAACATGCGGTATATGTTGGGGCGTCTCGATTGGGTCATCAACAGCGAGAAGAAGAAGAAGAAGAGGAGGAGGAAGCTCCTGTTACCCCGCAGCGCAAGGTAAGCAGTGGTACTGTTGCATTTAGACTCAAAGTACTGGGTTGGGCACCCGTTCTGAGATGGATGGGTCTTTCCGTCTCTCAGCCCGGTTCAAGCCTACGTTCGAGGAGCCCCTCACCCCCCAAGATAGATAAGTATCGCAGTCGTTGCCGTCCGATGCCCTGTGATGGCATCCCGCCGCGAAGGCTGGCTACTGAGTTTGAGCTCATGCTGGATGCCGGAGAGGAGGCGCCGTCGTCGTCTTCGACTGTGGTGATGCCGGCACCTTCTAACTTCCCATCACTCATGGAGCTTCCCCGACTGACCTTCCTGTATTCTGATGAAGAGGAGTCTGACGAGGACCTCATCAGCCCAGGCGTAAGTGACTCAGTGTGATGCTTTGTACAGTACGGTAAGCATCTCAGAGCCGTTTGCCGAGGATGCCGCGGATCAATAGTGAATTAAGAACAAATGTGCCTGCTGGCCAACCATCGACTGGCCGTTCTACCGTGGTGCCCGATGAGCTTGTGGTGCGCCTTTAATACGTCGTGATATCCACTCGATCCTGTTCCTATTGTGTAGGGGGAGGGGGATAACACGCCGTCGTCGACTGATGGAGGCCATTGCATGTCGCTGAAGGAATCATTGGTTGCCGATTTGGAGGCACTATTCCTCGAGATGGATCAATATCAGTAAGAGCAAGTCTAACTCGTGGGAGGATTTGTTACTACTCCAGAATTCCCTTGAGAGTCGCTTCTCACAACCTCTACAGTCGATCGGCACAATATGCGGAAATAGAGGATATGAACACAACACTGCAAGAGATTGTAGAGGTAGGTACTTCTTCACCTGATGATACGTCTCGATGGCATGTTACACAATTTGGCTTTCATTTCAGTCACATCCACAGCAGTTCTATCTCAAAGGGACTACCATTCACTTCGTCGTGCAACAAGGCTCTGACGGTGTCGACGGATAGGACCTTTAATTCTTGTCGTATTCCCATTGAAGAATCAGCTATGAGTAGCTCATGGCCATGTGTACAATAATAGGTCTTCTACCATGGCTCTCCAGCTGCTGGATGAGACATCGCTGGAAGCCATATATTCTCCCATTAGAAATCTACAACTGCGTTGTATTATAGTCAATGGTATCGAAACTCGGCAAGCGGTGACCAACCAAGTACGGGTTTCAGCCTGAGACTCTCAGGGTATTTTCTAGCACAAGGTGCATAAAGTTCGACGAATAATCATGGGAGCCACATGGGAATACCTTCTGAGTGGAGGAGAGTTGAATTCCCCTGCAAATTTGTAGTGGAGTGGGCAGGGTCTCAGGTAGCTTCCGCCTGTCACGCGCCCTGAGCCACTTGTCACTGCCATTTTTGAACTCCGTTCCCTACACGTGTGGAGAGCGCCTTCTTGACGAACAAGAAGCCAAGAAGTGTCACAGTTCTATTCCTGTAGATGCGTAAGATCCTGAGCTTCCCGACACGACGAACTCTATTCATGCTTTCCCGGAGGCAGCAGTAACGAATCTGACATACACGAACGATGCATGCCGATGATGGTAGGGGCTGTAATCTAGGAATTGCTCGGTAGACTTCTCCACACGAGAGCTCGAGTGTGCGTGATATAGCCGGAATGGTCTACTTGGTTATGACGACTGCCTAACATGCAGGAGGGATGGGGGAGAAGATGGCCCCAGACAGAGAAAAGAGGATTGAAAGGGAAGAGAAGAGAGATGTAAGATGATGCTGCAGCGTTGTCGCAGTCCCAATCTCCCGTGGCACACAATATGTCTCTATAGGCTGAAGGATTTCCTTAGCTAAGCTTGTGATGAAAATAGCCTTCGTCGGCAAGTATGGAGAGGCTCTGGAAGGCATGCTCGTGCAATTAGATCCAGTTTAGTGTTATCTCAATGGGCAAATCAGTAACAGAGAGGAAAGAGGAGAGAGGAGAAAGAGGAAAGAGGAGAGAGGAGAAAGAAGAAAGAGGAAGGAGAGGAAAATGGGAGAGGAAGAGTAGAATCTTCTAAAAATATTTAATAGGCATCCTAAGGGAACATCACAGCCCTAATAGCGACGGCCACGGTCATATAGTGTGTCGTTCAACCACATTCGTTTCACGGTGGAGCTTTTTTCGTTTCACGGAGACGACACCGCTCGCTATGGCCATAACTCCATGTTTTCGATAGGCAGCCTCTGCAGATAAAACAACATAGGTCGGTTTGGTCGCAAAGAGGTAAGGGACGTGGGCCACATTTGATATAAGACTTCTCATGTCTATGACTCATAGACTATGAGGGATCGTGACTGCTCCTCCATCGAGCAACTTCACCGATATGTCACCCTGCTTCAACTCCAGGCCTGGCGACTGTGCCTTCAACCGATGGTATAAAGTACTGGACACGAACACGTCTGTCGCTCCTGTGTCCAGGAGCGCAACCGTAGTGACCCTGCCTTGAAGACTTACTGCCACGGTCGGCAACCCATTGGCCGTGTATGTGACAGCCAATCGCTTCGACGTAGGTTCCCTGACCTTCGGGCCCTCTCGAAGCCTAGACCTGCAGCTCTCGATGTTCTCAACCTCAATATCGCCGTAGGCTCTCTCGACGTTCTCGGTGTTGCTCTCGAAGCCCTTTCTCTCGAAGTTCTCGATGTTGCTCTCGAAGCCCTTACTCTCGATGTTCTCAATATTGCTCTCGAAGCTCTTACTCTCGAAGTTCTCAATGTTGCTCTCGAAGCTCTTACTCTCGAAGTTCTCAATGTTGCTGTCGAAGCTCTTACTCTCAATGTTCTCAATGTTGCTCTCGAAGCTCTTACTCTCAATGTTCTCAATGTTGCTCTCGAAGCTCTTAGCCTCAACGGACTCGACACCCTTGCTGGTCTGGCATAACGCCACAATATCCGGTACGATTCGCTCTTGACACTGTTGACTCGATAGTCTCTCCTCCAAAGAGGTATTCGCCCAATGGCTATCATCAAGAACGCCGGTCTCGACTGCAAGGATATGACATTCCGCCGAGCTACTACTCTCCTCAGATGAGGAGTCGTCTAACGGGCACACTCTCTGCTGTGCCTCACTCAGATTGACCTGGGGATTGCTATCAACCGTCTTTTGCGCGAACTTATCGTGCTTAGCCAACACAACCCGCCCACCAATCTGCTTGCCGTTCAATAATTGTATCACTCTCTCAGCTTCGACATCGGTCTTGAGCTTCACGATGGCAGTGCCCTTCCTGGGCAACATGGTAACATACACCGACAAGTCGCCATTGGAGAGCTCACCGATCAAACCCTTCGTCTCTCGAAAGGTCCAATGGAAGGGTAGGCCGCTAACATACACCTGGGCTCTTGCCCTACTGTCGATCTCCGCGTTGTGCAACTCGGCCAAATGGGCTCCGGTTTGGCCTTTCTTAGGACCCGTGTGATCTTTGGTAGGTAACTTCAGTGGTGCCATCGATCTCATCCCAAGACTCTCTACCCCATATCTCAAGGTAAGCTGAGCCCAGGACTTGCACTCTCGGAGCATGTCTCTGTATGTCGCCACTGACAATCTCGGCAAGCGATCTACATGTAGTTGCCCGTCCCGGGGTAGTCCCATATACAGTCGAGCTCTCGCCTCCAGATCCGAGACAGGAGCTCCCCGAACTTCGGATAGCTGATCTCGAAGGCCTTCCAATTTGGACACGAAGGTCTCCAACCCCTTCGCTCCCTCAGGGCCGCAACCCAAGGCTTCCCATCGCTTCACCAATGACATCTCGTCAGTGCCGTCCGAGTAGCTCTCGAGGACACTCCACATAGTCAGCACTCTCGCCTTGAACGTGAGGTCCTTGTTCCTCGCACAAGTATCATTAATTAACTGTCTCAGGGGTTCGCTGACGTTGTGGTTCACGTAGAAATACTCGAATGCCCATTCATCTTCTTCTGAAGGTCCATACCGACCACTCAATTGGATCTCAGGCAAACTCTTCACCTGCCTCTTGAAACAGATGAAGCCTCTGGCATCGGCAACCCCGATGAAGGGCCCTCCAGTGACAGCTCTGGTATTCCGTGCCCTCTTGGACACCTTCGTTATGTCAACCCCTCGACGACATTGACCTCCCCTCGTCGGTACCCCTTGCACCCCGACGAAGTCTAGTAAGGAGGTTCGGTGCTCCTCGACACTGGGATCGTCGCTGACAGCGGTGTCGACCGTATCCTCACCTTGAACGTCGGTCGTTGACCGCCCTATCGAAGGTGAGGAGTTTAACTTCGAGCTCAACTCGTTGAACATGCCCGCCAAGTGCTCGATTTGCCCACGGAGCTCCCAAGCCCACGCCGGCGGCGAACCAGATTCTTCCACCGGGCGGTTCCCCGCCTCGGTGCTTCTGATTAACAACGGATCATTGGCATCCATGACGTTAGTAGTCACTTCTTCTCGGATGATTGTACCAAAATCGATATCTCACTGCTATAACTAGATAAGCCAACTCGACTCCAGCTCTTGTAGTATACCAGCTAACTTAGTGATACGGTAGTGGCCCTAGCCAGTTGTAGGGTATTTAGTTACTGTCGATCGATACCACAAATATAAGACGGAGGTAAGTCAAGACAGTTAAGCCGAAGGTCGATAGAACCGATCTTCTAACCGAACCGAACGAAGATAAATAAACGAAGAAGAACTGAGATAACTCAGATAATGATAGAACTATAGCACAGTTATACTCGATCGATCAGACTCTTGATAACACGGGGTGAAGCCGCTGGATGGAGCCTTGCACGCAAACTCATCTTCATGAACGCAAACTCATATTCACGCACCCAGGCCCGGTCCAGCACAATAACTGGAGCTACGCCGACACTATTCGATTCTCGAGAGAGAGAACGCAAGATTGCAAGATAGTTGGAGAATCGCTAACTCTTGAGAGGCTCACGCGCACGCCCATCTGATCGATATCTGAGGGTAACCGCAAGATGTATTCAGTGACCAGTAGACACCTGCGAACGCCTTCACTAGCTTTATTCGGCCATTATGAATGAATCTGAACTACTTCTCTCCTCTCTACTACCCTGGGCACGATTTTTTGGGCATTTTTAGCAAATTTCCAAGATTTTCCAGCCTCAACGGAAATTTCTGAAATTTTCTCGAAAATTTCCGTCGGACATTTCCGCCCGTGCCCAAAGGGCAAACCCTGGTTAATCCTATGACTTCTGGACTTCTCTTCAGCAAGCTCCCGTTCGCGGAGATATTCCAACTCTGCTTTGGCCCTCTATAAGCTGCACCGATTGACGTCTTTGCAAGTTCCTTGCAAATTGGTTCGATGGCAGTGATGGCCCCCCACCGCTAATGGTGGCCCGGTCAGCGTTTTCATCGTTTTTTCGAATTCCCTTGATGCGCGGGGATATGCTGGTATTCACCATTCTTTCTGACGGTCCTGAGGAAAGCGTCCAGGTCAGCTAGTATATTTCTGCGCCTCGATGCTACGCTGGAGCTCGAGCTCCGCCCAAACTCCCACTCTTCATCTGCTGAATCCAGCTTTGATATCCCGTGTTGAGCTCACGAAATGAAGTCGCAGAACGCGCGTTCGCCGGAGGGCATTGATTCCTTGAGATTGGCCCGCGAAATTCGATGGTTTACCGCGGCAGTTCGCCTTTCCGGAAGGCCCTTCCGCCCCCCTCTCAGTAGATGTGGCCTCTACTCAATCATCCCCGAATCCATCATCGGCATGGGAGGCAATGGGACCCACTGTCTTCGAGCCACAGAGCACACTTCGACAGCCATTGAAACTTTCAATGGCTGTCGAAGTGTACTCTCTAATTATTTATTTTTATTTCTTTTCGAAAAGAATACGAAGAAATATTAGTTCGATTGTTTCTAGAAAGAATTGAAAAGAATTCAGTTTTTTGGGGTTTTTGAGCTTTAGTCTTTCAAAATGGTCGGGACT